TCCTACATTTTTGGTCATTTCAAAATCATGACATTACATATTATGAAGACTTTTGTTTTATTAAAACGATAAATCTATGATATTTAAACTTGGTAACAGCATCAACCCTTAATATGCAATACAAACAAGACTATTTGTTTCTAGATTTCCAAATATTTTACGCCATATAACATTACTCGATCTGATGAGTCTTCTTGAGTTGAACACCCTATCCACATTAACCCGTCCACTCCTAGACAAATCATATGGGGAAATGATATCCCTTGTTTACTGGTGTCTATATAATTCGTTAACAATCCACTGATATTGAGAATATGAATCAACGCGTTATCTATGTCGGTTACAACAATAGTATCTGTATTTGTTATCATAATGTCTCCTGGACAAAAACGACAAGAAGTAATGTTATTGTTTCCACTGTACCTCCATTTTATTTTGTTTGGATAACCCAGTGCAGCGACACACCCGTAACCAGGCGCGTAGATGCCTTTACACAAAAAATCATTTGCTTGCACATTTTATTCACAAAAAAAAAACAAAAAAAAATTCTGAAATTGAATTACGGATAGTCTTTAGTCTTTACAGATTATCGTGTCGGCCGTGTTTAAAGCCCAAATCTCTGATGTCGTCTGTAGCAGTGACTAACAAGGAACTATATATCCTTCAATATTCGCAATCTTCTCCATTCTAGTTACAATGCCAGTAACTAAATCAACTACTGAACGGTCATTTAGTGCATTAAGGCGACCGAAAACTTATCTCCGTTCAACCATGGTACACACAGGACAGACTATCTTCGTTTGCGCTCATACATGTTCACAAAGAAATGGATATCAACACCGAGAGAGTTCTGCGATCATTTGCCTTGGCAAAAAATAGATATATGGACTTTTGATATTAACTATACTTTAAGTCTTACATGCAGTATAAACATTTAATAATACAGGCGCAATACAATCACCTTGAAACATCTTAGATTTATATCCCTTACTTATAAGTCAAGACTTAAAAGTGGCCGTTAGATTTCGTATTCCCATTGTCCGTTCGTCCAAAAGACTATTGATTCACCTGGGGTATCTGTGTCCCAAATGACCTTCTACCGTTGTCGTAGAAACCTCTCCTTTGATTTGAGAATGACCTTCGTGAGACACACTACGGGTGTCTTGCAAGAAGTAGGAACTGCTTACCCTTTTGGAGCACCGGAGGTCGCCACATTGTTTTCTCGGTCTGTGTTTTTCATCTGTTGTGTATTTAGTTTTCAATGTTGCATGTTTTTGTTTCTCCTTTTGTGTCTTATCTGTTCCCGGGTTTGTCAATTGTCCATTGATTAATGCTTCGATTGTCGACTCTTCCTGATCTTCCCGTTTCATAATTTTTTTTTTATATTTGAAAATAACCAAGTTAATAATATAAGCAGCAAATTACATAACTCACTAGACTTTTACTATCGTTTCTTGAAAATATGGTATAGTAAGAAACAGATAGGGTATTTTTCATGTTCAAAGCAGTCACTGTAATTACTCATATGCCCGGAGCTTCATGGGGATTCGCTTCCCCAGACCACCGTCTACGGTGCTGCCCTGGATCCCCAACTAGGGTGCTACCCTGGATCAGCTGGGGAATTTGAGCGGTCCATAGCCTCCTCCCTTGCCGAATCACTATAAAGTCCACAATATTCACAAAATAGGAGTTTGGGTGTGAATGTGATGTGAATTTCATAAGCATGGCATACCGGGAAAATGGTCCAAACAAATTTTTGATAATCTGTAAAGACTAAAGACTATCCGTAATTCAATTTCAGAATTTTTTTTGTTTTTTTTTTTGTGAAAAAAATGTGCAAGCAAATGATTTTTTGCGTAAAGGCAGCTACGCGTCTGTATATACACATATATATATATAATATAATATATATATATATAATTGAACGTTGTTTTCAATTTAGACTTGTTTATATTTTTTCGTTTGGGCTTGTATTATATTTGCCTTCGGGTTTATATGATCCGTTCATCCTATTTTGACTCTTCAAAATTTAAGAGTCAATCCCAAATTGAGGTAAATTATATGCCTTCCAAATACCGTTTCGATTCCTAACATCACTGAAGAGACATTAATTGTCGAAATCCGGATATGGTGTACAAATTTTTGCACCTCATGTTTGCGGTATACCATCTTTTCCGCAAGTTTATTGTTTTCTGTTTGGTATTTAATTAATAAATTAAGATGCATTTTTACATCTGGTGATCCGTTTTTTTGGCAATCGCCATGGCAGTCAGCAGGGTTTAAGAACATCCGTTGTTCGACCTGCTAGTCAAATGCGTTTTGTTAAAATATACTTTTTCACTCTTTTTGGTCTTTTGGAAAATGTTGTTTGTGCTGTATTTAGACCACTCTACCAAGAAATTTGTTTTGCATGCACACGTATAAAAATTGCGGTTTTTATCCAACGCAATCATAGGTTTGAACGTTGTTTTCAATTTAGACTTGTATATATATATATATATATGTCTCTGATAAAACCTTGCAACTTTAGTTTTTCCACTTCAACTTCAAATCCACAATGAGAAAATCTTTAAATTCTTAATAAAACCAAATGATATACAGTTTATTTCTGACAGTAAGTATATACTTATATATAAAATAATGTTGTAGCCAGCAAGGCATCAGAAAGCCTAAAGTTGCACTTTTCCAAAAGAGTTTGTACGAAAAAATGCCTACAATTAATATATGGTCAGTTCAATGACTTAAACCGTTTGACATATTTGAGCTTGTTTGTTTATGCTTCACTTCTTCCATATGCTATTGACTCTTTAGAATTTTTATATGCACTTTTGGTTAAGCAGGAATACATGTCAGAAAAACTAAAGAAAAAAAAAACCAACAAAACTACACAAAACTACACAAACTGAGAAGATAAAAAAGAACAGATAGAGAGAAGACAAAGATGAAACCAGATGGAGATCTTGTCAAATGGCAACTTCAAAGAAAGTTACAACCAGAACCGCCAGAAAATCCAGTTTATTTTGAAATTGTAATGGGGAAGTTGCTCTCCCAGAAGTTTTATTTACTGCTTAAAATACAACAGAAAAGGATACCAGTAATAATAATGTGCCTGATCAAGAAGATATATGTATCAACATATAATTATGTGTCCGACCATGACGGAGAAAATGATAATTAAATAAAAGTGAGATTTATGAATGTAAGGCCACAATAACAAAGGAAATAGTTAAATATTTTTGCAGATAGTTAAAACCGCATCTGGTAAAACCTTTGTGATTAAAAAAAATGTGGACAGATGTTTCTAAATGTATGGCCAAAAATAATAGCGCTTCTCCCCAAAGTTCTACTAATTAAAAAGAAACTACAGAAATACATAGCGGACTGCAAAATAAGGACAAACACAAATTGTTCAAAACTGAATCAACTGGTAAGGATACGTCTGAAACGTCAAACGAAGCCAGACAGTGAGTCTAGAATTGGAAATGCTGAATCCCTAATAAGATAGAACTCTGGCGGAATCTTTGCTTCACATGTACTGTTTTAAAAAAAAGATCAAAACTTCTCAGTACTGTTGCGTCATGAGTACTATCTGGGTTTCTCGTCCACACATAGTTGAACTTCGTCTTTGAGTTACAACATCCGAAAATGATAGAATACATGTAGAACTTTTTTTCTGTTAAAAAAATGCATGTGGCTAGTGTTGATGATTTATTTTGAATATGGAATCCATCATTAGCACTAATTACATTTTGCAATTGTGATCTTTCGCTAAATTGTATATATGAGTTGAATGTCCACTTGTTGCATTAAATTCTTGTGGGGTACTTTGCCATATTATTACTTCAGGCATCTCAGAGACCATTACTGATGATATTCGTTTTATTCTTGCTTGGCAGCTTTCTTTGATGTACCAAATCTGTCTGCCATAGAACGGAAACTCTCCATATTACCAATGATAATGTATCATAGAAACATAACTTACTCTTTTTGTACATTTGGAGTTGGACCTTTCTGCATGTCTATTAAATTCAACTTGACGGGAAATCCCGGGCATGTACTTTCAAATGACTCTCGTGTCAGTATAAAATGCTTTTTAAAAAATCATTAAGAATTATAACGCGGGAAAGTTATATATAATCCACAGTAATTGTCTATCCGTGGAATAGATTCAGCCGACTTCTTCTTTCGTTGAAATTCGTCTATAGACATCAAATGGTAGAAAACAATTAATATACATTAACGTACAATGTGCATGTTGTTGTTGTTTGATAATTAGGGTTGGGATGCATTGTATTGATATTTTTAAAATGAAATTTATTGATTCTCATATATGCGTATAGCTACCACTGGTTACAGACAATAACATTGATTGCTACCAACGAATCTTCTCTGAACGCACCCAATAAATAAACAAATTATAAATAGATTTAATTTATAAATATACACATTCTTTTGATGGAAGGGAAGTCTCTGTTCAGTTGTAAACCGATATAGTCATGGTTTAAAAAGTGCAAACAAAATATCATTAATTTTTGAAGTTTAAAATAATTTAATACACATTCAAAAATATTCGGAATGAAGTCAGAATAAACAAAACAATATATGATTAAAACACACATATTTCAATTTGAAATAATTAACACACCCGGGCGTGGTATGGGTTTTGCTCATTGTTGAAGTTTGTACGGTACCCTATAGTTGCTGAAATATATGTTATTTCAAATGTAACGGATAGTTGTCTCATTGAATACTACATCTCCTTATTTCATATTGCTATACAACAAAAAGATTAAAGGTTATTTAGTAGTACGTACTTTGCCCATTTTTCTTAACTGAATTATCTGTACAAAAAAGATAAATTATATAAATGAGGTATCGTGCACGTCTGTCACCTGTATTATTGTTTTTACTAAATAACACATATATGGTTACTATCGTACACTAATGCACTCGAAATACATTGTGAATCATTGTAGACTAACTGTTTAATAAATTTACCTGTAATATCTCATAAATTATAAACATGATAAACACTGAATATTGAGTGGACACTCTCGTGTCTATACATAAATTCTGAATAACATGTCAACAAAGATATACATGTACACGCCAAGGATCGAAGTAGTGTCACAGTGGAAATTTAGAAGGTAAGTAAATATATCATAAAGATTGTCGCCACTAAAGAACACACATATTTTACTGTTACTTTATACAGAACAAAAGCAGATTTACGCCATTTAACTGTTTACAATTGATATTTTCTTTATTTTTACACACTTTAAATAATGAGTGCTGCTGAACCAACATTGAGCATGATGTCTTGTGGTACCGAAGTCGACACCAGTGCGGGGTCTGTAATTTAGGCTAGTGAAGCTGAGTCCTACTATAAAGACATAATGTAGAATGCATATTATGACTGTTTTCACCCCAAGGATTGACTGGGTTATAGAAAAATTGTCATATCTCGATTTATCCCGTCCGACAGTAAAACAATTTCTAAAGTTGGTCATTCGTTTGGCTGTTGGGGATGTATAAATACGTATAGCCACTTTCGGTCGGAATAGGGGCGTTTATTGGAGGCCCCGGGTGAATGTGATACCCTCAACACATTAAAGAGCCAAAGAAACCCACTTTTGAGAGGTCTGTAGATAGCCTATTACAAGGAAAAGTGTGTTTTCCCATCTACTACACCTTAATTTTCAAAAGGCTGTCCACATTTCTATCTAGTATTAATTTAAGTGATAAGTTGTTTTCTTCCGGAAAATGGATGACGTATTTTCCACAGTGACTGGATATTAAACAAGCAACAATCAATTAGTCAAGGGACTCGCACCATTAAGGAATTAAATAAAACTGGTAGTGTCGGTTTCTGTTTATCTAATACAAAAATAAGGTGATGTGGTATGATTGCCAATGAGACAACTATCCACGAAAGTATAATAAAGTGTATTTAAGCAATTATAGGCAACCGTACGACCTTCAACAATGAGAAAAAAACCATACCGTATAGTCGGCTACAAAAGGCCCCGACATGAAAAATATGAAGCAAGTCAATTGAGAAATTTAACGGCCTATTTTATAACAAAACAATTTACGAAAAACAAATATGAAGGACGTGAACCAACGACAATCACTGAACTACAGGTTCTGACTTGGGACAGGCACATAGAGAATGTGGCGGGGTTGAACATATTTATGAGCGGTCAACCCTCACCCTAACCTGGGACAGTGGTGTAACAGCACGACATAAGAACCAACTATAAAAATCAGTTGAAAAAGGCTTAACTCATCAGATCGATACAAAGAAAAACATAAAACAAAAACATAGACGTGGCTTGGTGTATATCCATCCATAATCCCTAACAACAAAAAAGACACTAAGTACAGATCTGAAATTACTCGCAGTTACTGACAGATAGTTCAAAACCAATAGCAACTAATAAAAAAAAATCATGTATCTAACACTGAAATATCAATCAGTACACATCCAACATTCAATGGATTTAGTGTAAAGACGTCATTAACAGAGAAAAACATGACCTTGTGCAATGCCAAAGTATAGGTATCGACAGATTGTAGTACCGTGAAAGTAGATATGTGTAATGTTTAATATGGTTTTAATTTACTGATAATAAAATCGATATTTATACCAATAAAACAATATTCAAAGTTTTAATTACAGTGTTGAATATGTAACCTTTTAGAATAAGTTTTTTTAAGGATTGATAAGTTTACCCGGATCGTATCTACATTTCCGGGCTCGGTTAACAACATGATTTGATTGATTGATTGATGACTAATTAACCTCCAGTGGTAAATTACATTCTTTATCTTCTTCCTCTGCATCGAGCGTGATACAATATTTTTCCACTGGAAACATTTTTTTTTAAATTTTCACTTTAAAATGCGAGGCTTGTTTTTAGAATTTAAAAATACAATTAAATTGTCGAGGGTGGAGATTCGTGTTGTACGAGATTTGGTGGTGGAAACTATTTCTCGAATGATACTTTGTTCATGATTTGCAAAAACATGTTTTCTTTCTATATGACTTCATCAGACATAGTCTCCTTTTTCCTTACGTCACAGTAGAATAAAATATAGATTCGATTGTTAGTTACTTAACGTCCATTGTCAAATAGTTCATGCATGTTGAGGACGAGAACAAATTAACAATACATACAATAGTTAGGTCTTGTAATAGAGGTCATCAGGGATGAAGGTCGATGAAATTTCGACTGCCACTGGAATATGAGGGTATATTGGATTAGGACAGAAACTTTGCCTTGCAACAGGCCACCTACGAACCCCTCAATGAGTTGTTGCAAAGGTTATAAACATGCAGAGAGCGTGTCATTCTCTCTACACGAGGCATCAGATTTCTGACATTCTCACCGGACGTGGCTGCGTACTTGTACATCCCGCACAGTCAAACGGAAGCCCCACTTTGGCAAGGGATTTACTGCCGGTCGAAAGAAGACCTGTAGAACCCACATTTCTATTCTCCAGTCACCCTTGCTGATGAGGAAAGCTAGAATGTGTTTTCTTATAATTGAATTTACATAATAAAGAACCGAGATCAAAAGGACCATGTTTATTACAAATATGAAATATTCAAACAGTCAAGTGAAGGTATAGGTCGGCTAAGAATTAGTGCTAGCATCGTTTTGTAACAGTCGATAGAGAGAAATATCACCTAATATTTTGATGGGTCCCTAAAAGAAATTAAAAATAAGTAGAAACGACGCAGCGGTTGGAGACAAATGAGGTAAGTATTACGAACAGTTCGAGAAGTTTCTGGTATCAGATCAAGAGTTATAGGATCATTAGTATAGCGTTAGTTGTTATTTATCATGATTTTAATTCAGGGCAACATATACATGTATATGACGGCTTCAATATGGACAAACACGCGTATTTAAAATTTCATTTAATTTAAGTAATGTTCCCCCTAATAAATCATAAATTTTCTGTGTAGTGTTTTGTGAGTTTAACTTATTATTTGTCTTTTGTTGTTTTCTCTTTTGGTCGTGGTGTTGTCTTCGGATACTATTTTTTTGAATGCCCTCCTGTTTACGGATGAAAATGCTTTACTTCAATATCAATATGATATCTTACATCATTTGCAACTATTGAAAGCAAAAACACAATATACATTTTTTCAGCGCCTGTGAGCTAGTGGACACACATAGTTAAACACCAAAGGTTTTCAACTTCATATCAGAAAGAAAAAAAACCAGTAAATTTATGCAAGGAACACATTTATTAATTAATAGTTGGTTAGTTGCTTTAATTTTAAAAGGATCAAAACAAAACAGAAAGAAGATACCATGTGGACATTTGAAATTCACAGGTAAAAAAATCAAGGAAAGGACAAACAACAATAACAAATAAATTTTACACGTTAGACTGAAGACACGAACCCCACAACACCAGAGATGAACTCAGATGCTCCAGAATATTTTAAGCAGTGGCAACCGTCCGAACGAACACCTTAAATGTGGAAACAGTTTTAAAATGTTCTTACCTTTAAAAATCACGAATCAAAACATGCATGCCAGGTAGTTTTGCGGTGTTATTAAAATTAACAAACCTTCGGAATTGTGATATTGTTTTTATTGCAGACTTAAAAGCAATATAAAATGTCTTCAATACCTGTGATAGATTTCCAAAAATATGGGCTTCATATCGAGAAGGCAGATTCTGTACCTAGGGAGGACTTGAAGGAGTTAGGAGACCAGATGTGTGAAGCTCTACAGAATATTGGGTTCTGTTATTTGAAAAACCACGGAGTTCCTGATGCACAGGTACATTATGTTTTAGCTCACCTGGCCTAAAAGGGCCAAGTGAGCTTTTCTCATCACTTGGCGTCCGTCGTCCGTCGTCGTCGTCGTTGTCGACGTTAACTTTTACAAAAATCTTCTCCTCTGAAACCACTGGGCCATATTAAACCAAACTTGGCCTAAATCATCCTTAGGATATCTAGTTTAAAAAATGGATCCGATGACCCCGCCCATCAACCAAGATGGCTGCCATAGCTAAAAATAGATCAAAGGGGTAAAATGCAGTTTTTGGCTTATATCTCTGAAACTAAAGGATTTAAGGCAAATCTGACACGCGGTAAAAATGTTCTTCACATCAAGATCTATCTGCCCTGAAATTTTCCGACGCACTAGGCAACCCATTGTTGGGTTGCTGCCCCTGAATTGGTAATTTTAATGAAATTTTGCAGTTTTTTGGTTATTGTCTTGAATATTATAATAGATAGAGATAAACTGTAAACAGCAAAATTGTTCAGCAAAGTAAGATCTACAAAAAAGTCAACATGACAAAAATTGTCAATTGACTCAATAAGGAGTTATTGCCCTTTAAATTAAATTTTTCACAATTTTTCGTAAATTTTTGTAATCTTTTACAAAAATCTTCTCCACTTAATCTACTGGGCCAAATATCATTAAACTTAGCCACAATTTTCAATAGGGTATCTTGATTTAGAAATGTATCCGATGACCCTGCCATCCAAACCAACATGGCCGCCATGGCTAAAAATAGAACTTAGGGGTTTACTATAGATCTAGAAGTCTATGGGAAAATTGTAAAAAAATAATTTCAAATGTTCACAACTTGAAAACTAATTTTAATAATGATAAGGGGTCTTCAGTTACTATTGTAAGACTACAATGGGATGACCTGCTTTTAATTTAACTACTGGGCTAAATTAAACCAAACTTGGTCTCAATCATTATTGGGGTATCTTATACTATTTATTATGTTTTTAACCTTATTTTTCATGATTTCCAAAACCACAGTAGATACAGGTGAGCGACACAGGCTCTTGAGAGCCTCTACTTGTTCTCTCTAAAAGCAACTTATGATAATTGTAGGTGTTTCTACAGTGTTAATTCAAACACCACAATAACAAATAAAAACGACAACAACAACAACAAAAAGTCATTGTTAAGACATTACAGTATCTTGTTGATACAAATTTCCTTATCAACTCTGTTTTAATGAATAAAAGCTAAAATCAAAATTTACATTAAAATTAGATACTAATATGAATAAGATGTACATTAAATTTGAGTTTAAATATTATTATAGTTGAAAGAAGTATTGGAATTGTCAAAAAAATTCTTCAGTCAGCCATTAGAAGAAAAAGAAAAATGTGCCAAACCAGATGGAGGTTATGATGGATGGATCGGACTAGAGAAAGAAAAGTTAGATTTTTTTTTCAATTTATACGAAACTATTTAATATTTACAATATCATTACAAAATAATGTTTGTAGCTTCATTAATTGTTATGCAAAAGATTTCTTATATTTGTTTAAAAATTTCCGATGGGTTACATTTTAGGTGAACTATTTGGTCTTTTAGGTGTCAGACATTTCTGAGGAAGGGGGGGGGGGGGGGGGGGAGACAACGAACTATGATATTTGCTGTATCTAATAAATAAAAATTTACCTTTATTAAAACAATGTATTATGCAAAAACATGAGAGTGGGAAAAATATCTAAACTAATTTCTATGATTCTGTTCTACTTTCCTTAAAATGTATGTTAAGATTATTTTTTACGTGTATTATATTTCAATTGTACAAACAAAACTAATTTTCCCTTGGCGATTGAAGAGTAACAGGGATATAACGCTTTAAATATGGTTGCCTTCATCTCTCCTATCTGACTGTATGACTTATGCTGATTGGGGCTTTAAGATGGGGCTATCTGCAATACAACTTACCATTGCGACACCTCTTCGGGGGATCTGCTGAAGACAATATGGTATATAACAATATTTCTAACATGCTCTCTTGTGCGGTTGGGTAGCAGTTGAAATGTCCCAATCTCCATCCCGACCAACCCACTTTGCAGATTTCATTTAATCTTTTTATTGTTTAAATAAACTCATCATAGATACAAGGATTAAAATTGTGTACGCCAGACGTGCGTTTCATCTACAAAAGAGGTACACAAATAATCAATCAATTATTTGAGCTCACCTGGCTTGAAAAACTAGTGAGAGCTATTGTCATCACTTTGGGTCTGTCGTGCGTTTACAGAAAGTTTCTCCTTTGAAACTACCAAAATCAAAATAAGAAGATGTGGTACATGTATGATTGCCAATGAGACAACTCTCGACCAAGACCAAATGACATAGAAATTAAGCCTATTGCAGTTAAAATTGGTCACACTCATCCTTAAAATATTTAAGTTAACAGAAGTTAAGTTATATCCAATAAATACGCCGATCAACCAACATGACTTGTCTTTTTTTGTGGAAACGATAGTAAATAGAGAGAAACTATAATCAGTACAAAGGTTTGGCAAAATAAGTTCTGCAAGTCAACACGACCGAAATCACCAGTCGTCTCCTTATAGGTGGTTTTGCCTTTCAATGATATTTTTGTATGTGTTGCTTTTTCAACGAAAACTATAAACAGCAAAAAATGTAAATATGCAAAAAAAACAAAAACAAAAACAATGAACGATACAGACTATTTGGCCTCTAGTTTTCAAGTTTCGATATCTTTAGGTCAGTTATAAGCGATATTTTTTTTAATTTTATTTGATCCAACGTTTTGTTTGTTTGTTTAGGGAAAATAAACAGGTTTCTGAAATGCGGAGTAAAACCTTCTGGCTAAAATCTGACCCATAAATAAGCTGCATATAACTTTAACACACAACAGGAACGTTATTCAAAAAGTAAATGAAAGTAATATTTAACTATATATACGCCGGGACATTTGTAATGGTTGATGAGCTGGACAAATTTTTAGGTACAATTGTAATTTTCCTCTCCAAGTTATATAAGATGTCTGTTTCAGACTGAATTTAGAGAGACCAGTAGGAGATTATAAAGAAACCTATAACATTACTCCAATATGCGAAGTAAGTAATATAAATAGATCATTGAATGATGGTTGGATAGATGGAGGCCTGCATCTATACACAAATGCACAGATGGATGAATTAATACATGTGCATTGATATATAGCTGCTTGAATGTTTTGTCTTTTATTGTCGAGCCTGCGAAATTTATTTTGCTAAAGCGAGACAAAGCGATCCGATTCCGTCGTCGGCGTCGTCAACATTTAGGTTCAGTCTGTGCTTACAGTTTTTTTAGACATCAATAACTTTGTCAAGTCTACATGGAATTTTATGAAATTTGGACAGAAGCTTGTCAATGACCGAAATACAGTATCCAGAGCAAAATTTTGAAAATATTTATTTTCATTAGTACGTATTTTACTGATAAATGGCCTTAGTTTTTTTTACAATTAACATTCCGTTTCATTTCTTCGTTTTAAAATATTTAACACATTATTTTACATTGTTTTCTGTAACCCACACCGGAATTACTAGCGTTAAACGTTGGTTAAAAGTTTTGTGACGGGAGACCTTTGAGAATTCATATACCTAGTAGTTTTTGGTTTGATGCTAAAAATGACATTGATTGTAGACACCAATGATAAATATCACTCCCTTACGGCACAACAGTTCATAGTCCATGTATAGCGAGAGATTTATGTTATCAAATTCAGGATAGCGCATGTCCTTTTGTAAAACAAGTTTGGAAAACTCTTTATAAGCAAAGAAATCCAATGGAAAAGAGCAAATCCCATGAATACTTCGATATCATTACCAAAAACCTAGCCCGAAGTACACTGTCACAACAAGCCCTAATTTTACTCTTCCAAATGGTATAGCATTGTTATGTTTCATATACTAATAAGTAACCGAAAATAGGAGGAATACTCAAAGAACAACATTAATATGTTACCCGTCTACACGGAAAATATAAGATTTTTCTCGTTAGTATTTGGACAGCTGATTGACAAAACCGAATAAAAAACAATAAGCCATCTGTAATTTAAATTCTTAAGTGCTTTAAAGGTTCTATACACAAAATTACACTTTATCTGTCCTGTATTTTTCTTTTTTAAAGCTGTTTTTTTGTCAAAGGTACATGAAATCAGAAAACGTCACCAACATTGACTTATTTTTTTCTACAGTTAACAAGTAGAGTACAGTTTTTTTTTCAGTTGACATTTACAGAGAATCAAGGATTAAATCTTTTTGACTTGATAAATTTGGAAACCTTCATGGATTGTTATGAAACTTCGACAGAAGCATATCTTCAAGTCCAAGAAATAGCATATAAAAAATAAATTCTGATTTTTTTTTTAAATTCTGAATTTTACCGATAAATGGACTCACTTTTTAAGTAAACATTACACTTACACTGACAGCAGCAATCGCAGGCGAGCCACGGGGTATGCGGAATCCCTTACGATTTTTTTATTACTACATAAAATCATCAGAGTCAAGCCACCTAAAATAATTTTTTATCTATCTAGTACATAACTTTTGATTCATTTGGAACCCCACCAAATGTGTCCTTATTAATACTATGAACAACACGACGGTCTCCCTTGCGTAGCAGAATCTGCTTACCCTTCCGGATCACGTGAGATCACTGAAAGCTTTTGGTAGGGTTCGCATTGCTCAGTCATTAGTTCATCTTTGTTGTTTTTTATTTTTGTGTTTGCATGTTTGCGTCTGCAGTCATTGATGACGTTTTTGTGTGCAGATGTTTTTTTGGGTCACATCATCATTATTCAGCAGCTTGCATTGCTAAATTTTCAGTCGTAAATGTAGTTTGGTGTTAGGACGCATGCAACACTTGGAGTGAAGACGTGAAGACAATATGTCCACTTTTACCTATACTTTTAGGCTTCGTTTAATCCGAAATTTTATATATAAAGTGATCTACATGTACATTCACCATAGCTTGTTATAAGTATGTGTCTTGAGAAGAATAGCACAAACTAGGCCACCGCTATTATGTTGCGCAACATCGACTTTAATTTTAGTTTATCGACCGAGTTAAAATACCAGAGTATCAGACACAATCTCCATATGTAGTACTATTTTTTACATCAAGTGCAGATTTCAGATACCAAGAAACCTGCAATTATATAACATTGTTTAATATATTATAACAGCGTTTGTTAAAACTTTTGTCACAGTATTTTAGGCCTCGTAAAGAGATAACATCCAAGCCTCTTTCACTACAAAATGTATCTTCTCGCTGTTACATCATTGGAAAGGTGTGACTTAAATACAAAAAGTATATATAAGCAACACCTAAAAGTTTTAAGTTACTTTGGAAATAATTTAAGAATATTGTCGGTAAATTTACGAATTTAAAGCACGATAAAAATGTTTCATTTAATTTCTTTTTGTGTTAAATTTTGTATATTAATCTTCTTTGACCTCGCAGGACCTTTTCTGTATTAAATCTTCGCGGAAGCGCAGCAGCTGATATTATTTAAGAAGCCCTGATTTTAATCTTATCTGCTGATTAGGGATTTTTTATTTGCCGTTAGAATCACTGAACATTCTTGATGCACATTGTTTTCTCGTTTGTAATACTGGTGTCAAATTATTCAGATCAGAAATACATATTTGTTCTTCGTTTGGCCTTTCAACTTTTTTATTCGGGGATCACTGATGAGTCATTTGTAGACGAAACACGCGTCTGGTGTGAAAATATATATGCCTGGTATCTTTGGTGAGTTTATGTTAATTCTTCTATTTTTATTATACTTCATTTTCAAATTTCAGGTATGGCCGACCAATATACCAGAATTTGAGACAGTTTTAATGGATTTCTTACGAAAATGCATAGAACTAGCTTTAAGAGTTTTTGATGTTATCTCCGTTGGTTTGAATTTAGAGGTAATTGATATGACATAAAACATTTTTTTTTATTGTTTTAATATTATTATACACGTATATTACATTTTTGATTATAATACTTAATAATATTAAACAATACAAACTATTTTAGTAAAATTCTACATTTGTATACGGTTTACCCCAACTTCAGTAGTATGTATTGGATCTTTATTTTTTCTGTTATATTTTTCCTTCAAACAGTCCATATCATATTAATCTATCTGTTCGTCTTTCCACCATTAGGTTTAAGTGTTTCGTTTTTAAGCTAGTTTACCATGAAGTGTCAACAAATTGAAAGTTTGTTCATGTTTATACTGATGTTTCCTTTTTACAATACTGTCTCCAATTACAGAGAACAATTATACTTTTCTTTCATTATAGGACAAGAATTTCTTTCGAAACTGTCACAAATTAATTGGACAAAGAGGAAATGTCACTGCTCTTAGAAGTTTGTTTTATCCGGCTATTCCAATGGAAAAAGGTAGATTTTTCCGTAGTGTCAATAAAATGTTTAACAGTTTATATGAATAAAAGGAGGCATGAGGATACACGCCAATGAGACAGATATTCAACGACACATACACAAAACAGAAGAATAATTAGAGAGCTTTCACATGTTTATTTTAACTTGGATGGAGAGTTGTCTCATTGGCACTCATACCGCATCTTCCTATATCTATTAACATAATATTAATATTAATATGATTACAAAAAAATTATACCAAAATTTTTTGTCACGTAAAATTAATATTTATATATTATTCCGTTTCTTAATATAGAATTGTTATGTTTCAATTTGTTGTGTACTAATTCAATTCACAAGAACATTGTACATTTTCCAATTTCTACACAAGAGATTAAATCAGCATTGTTTGCAGAAATAATGGAAGGCCAAGTAAGATGTGGTGAGCATTCAGACTATGGTACACTAACGCTACTATTCCAAGACCTCGTCGGTGGATTGGAGGTAAATGAATACTTACTGTATATATTTTTCCTAAATTAATTTAGATATTAATTATATATATTTAAATAAACACAAACTAGAGACTAATAACAAAAAACGAAAACGGCATTGTAAGACAAGCTAGGTAACTTCAGGGTTACAAATGTCAATTAATTAATTTTGTATAGTGTCACTGGTGAAGCAAAATATTCTTCCCCTTCCGGAACACCTGGTTCTATCCCGTTTTTTGTAGGGTTTATGTTGCTCAACAATTTAGTTTTCAATACAGTATTTTTTTTAACTACTGTGTTTTTTATGAACTTTATAGATCATTGTAAAACCGTCTTGACTTTTTTCTTTAGCTTATGATTTTTGATTGGTTCCTTGGTTCAATTTTCTCTCGTTTTTATAAGAGATATTGGGAAAAGCAGGTATTTTCACTGTAAATGTTTGTTTGGGATACATATGCATATTTTCATTCAATAAGGTCTACTTATTACCTGATCAAATGTTCTTAATCTTACAGCTAACGTATGATCATCTGCTCATTTCAAATCCTATTTTAGGGACTACGAACTCGGCCAGACTTATGTACTCACAGAAATTTGAATGGCCGATCTCGGGAAAACTACTTACTGAACTATAAATGATTCTAACCTAAAACAAATATCCATAAACAAGTCAGCAACTTGACCACGGACATTATCTCCCTTTTTCATAGTTTTTATTCGAAAATAACAAATCTGTAATTATTAACTTCATGATACGTACAAATTCATCAAGTTGTAACGGGAAGTGCTTGAAATTACTAAGTTTAAGAAATTATATATATATAACTATGATTATATACTACATCAGACATTTGTATCACACTTTTCCAAATAATAGGACAGAACCCTTGAATGCAATCGTAAGAAATTAGGTATAATTAATAAAAAGATCAGAAATACATTTATTTTTCTAATTCTTTGTAGTTTAACCCTTACCCGAGCGGTTTTTATTTGTTATACGATTAACACACGTATTCTTCTTTTCAGTTTTCATTAACTTATCAATATTAAGTTCAATTTTCTCTGCCAGTCTCTAATTTTTCGTTATGTTTTCATTAATAAAAGATAAGAAAAACTCTGTTCTATAATACACGAAAGTTTATGCAATCTGTATAAAAACCAAATCAACCCATTTTTATCGTTTATTCGTTAAATTATCTGGTGTGCTATAAAACATTTCTTACCTCGACAAGCCTTGTGTATTGAAAATAAGAGTTTCAGGTTCGACAATTCGTAACTTACTTGCAGCAGAGGCAAATTGTATACGTACATGTATATTTTTTTCTTGTCAAATACAGGTAAAAACACGTGATGGGAACTATATTCCAGCTACACCAATTTCTAGTACCATTGTTGTAAACATTGGGGATATGATGCAGAGATGGACGGCAGATAAACTTATTGCAACGGTAAAGTTTAACTTCTTTTCTAAATGTGGCAGCATGACTGTATGTTTGTTAATTTTATATTTTTGTATATATTTCTTAATGTTTTTATTTTTTGTATGATTGGCTTATGTTTTGTTTCGTTTTTGTTTCTCTATGGGTGTAAGGGGCTGTTCTGCCTAAAAGATTTTGACCACAGATATACAGCTTAATATATGTATTTTGTATGTTAAAATGTTTGTGTCGTACAAGAACATGTCAACTCATTGTAGTATTCATACATGATACGATAACACAGAAAGACAGTGTGAATAAAATGGACAGATGCCACAGTTTTGACGATATCAACCAGTCAAAGTGCGCTACTGCACGCTCTTGAAAATGTCAAGAACTCAAATTGTTACATTTGTAGGTTTTGAAGTTTAGTATGAGTAGTTTCGTAATTGACTGAATCGTTTTACATTCTTTTGTCTCCATCTACTATAGATCTATAGTTAAATCATACAATAACGTAAAATATCCGATATTTTAAAAGGAAGAACGAAATCTGACAAAGAAAAAGAAATAGAGATTTCAAATGTCTATTGCAAAACGATTACCAAAGTTGAGAACAATTTAAAAGATAACTTTTTTGTCTTCCAAAATACTTTTTTGACAGTAAATTAGTATTCTAATATAAACAAAACCAAAGCTACATGTTCAAAAACATGAATGTATATTATACTGTATACTTTCAACTTCAACTTTATTTGATCACTCAGACACATTACATACGTGTAACAGGAGGAATACAATATTTACATATATACAAACAATACAAAACAATGGTTGGTATGGAAAAAAAAAGAGAATATATTATTATACAATCAATTCACAAAATGTTTATAAGTTTACTAATAAACAGTGATAACTTTTTTTTTAAACTTTTACGTTACATAGTGATAATAAGCCTATCATTTCTTGATAACATGGATATCTAGTAAAGTAAATAGGAATATGTTTATTTCGTATGTCTACCATTGTCGGAAACAGACATTCAAAAAGGTAATGAAATTCAGTGCCAATTCCTATATGACATATTCTTTCTTCTTTTTTTCTACATAGAAAAAGAGGCTCTAGATATTGTATCGAATGCCTAGATAACTAAGAAAACTGGATCACCTGTTGGAAAAATTGTTTAGTTTTGATTTTTGTTCTACAACGTGTTGGTTGTTGTTTGTAATGCATGTTGCTGTAGTGTCTGTTAGTTTTGAACTTCTTAGAATATTTTTGTATTTACTATTTTAATATAATTTAATTTTGGATGTAACGCGTCTTCTGATTGGCTGACGTTGTTTTGTTTATCAGCTCATAGACATAATTTTGTCATGTGACCGTGACGTCATCAACGTTTTTTCATGGTTTACTCCGGTTTAAAATGGAATTTAGAATTAAATTATAAGAAATGACTATAATATTTTTTCTGTCTATTCGAAATAACATAAAAAATGTGGTGCACACTTTAAAATAACCCGCTACGCGGGTTATTCAGTGTGCACCACATTTTTGATGTTATTTCTTCATAGACAGAAAAAATATTACAGTCATTCCTTAAATGATAGCTCACCATATCGAAAAGTTTTAATTTAAGCTTTTGTCATCATTTTCTATATGCTGTCAGAAACATTTTAGGTCATATGATATGCAATTCTTCTGAATATACATGAAACACTTGCCACTGGACATGAAGCAAACTTCAGTCAATCGATTAACTTTTATTTACAGAAACATCGTGTTTTAATTCCGAAAGAAGAATCAATAAAACGACAGAGTCGACAGTCTGCAGCTTAAAAAAGCCTTTGTTTGTTGTCCCGGATTCATTTCACGTCATCACGTGTTTGGACGATTCTGAGAAATACCCTTCTATCACTTGTATTGATTATCTCTATGGAAAGTTTCATGAAAAATTCTAAATTGGTATTGATTTTTTGAAATATTTTATATATCTAACTTAATGCTTTGCTTGGTATTGCTAGAAATTTGCAAATCTGTAATTCGTTTATTATTCAAAATTAACGCAAAATACATAAAAGATGATAAATTTCGTATACACTATGTTAATTGTGAGTCTATTCCAAGATCCATTGTAAACTCCAGTTGCTTTTACTTGTGAACTGTTGTTTTGAACAAGTTTAACAGATTCAATATTCCAACTGTGTCTGAACAAGATTTTTTCGACTTTGTTTCGATATGATAAAAATATGACGAGTTCGTGATGGCGGCTGTTTAACATAACCGATCGAGTAGCTGTAGCTAAGAAGTAAATATGTGATTTGTGTATTTACTTCATTTGCATGTTCGCTTCCAGTGTAGCAACCTTTAATTTTGTTTCATGAAAACTCCTAATAGCATAGCGCAGTGATTAAATTTAGCAATGGCTATCTTTAATGCTTTCAAGCTTTATTCTTCCTACAACTTTATCCTTCAGCTCTACCGATCCTTTATGATTATTGCAAACACTTAACTTGAAATTCAAACACGATATGTGTGTGTTTTATTTTTGCTGTTTTTTTTGTTGTTGTTTTGTTCTTTTTATTCTTTTTAGTCGGATGGGGTAATATTTTTATTGTTGTTATTATTATTATTATTTTCTTTTTGAATGGTTAATAAATATCAAAAACAAATATGTACAAAGTTAAAAAGTACAATTTTTTTTCTGTAATAATCATTGATAATGCTTTGGTAAGCATCAAAGGTTTATAATATGGGTCAGTTAAAATTATTGACGGACATTACTGTAAAATCTACGGAATCCGACCAAAATCGAAAACTTAATCAAAACAAAAAAATGCAATCTCGAGTTTAAATATATTGTCATAAAAAGGAGTTATGATTTAACGAAACAAAAGTGTTATAGCACTAAGACAAAAATATAAATATTTTCTTTCTCTTTGAAAAGTAATTTCAGACGAAAATTATACAAGAGAATAAATATTTTAAAAGGATAAAATCAATAGTAAATAAGAAAATTTTTATGAAAGCATTTCTTCTTTTGAATTTTATAGATATTGTGTATTGAACAAGGAATAATTTTGAAAACTTTCAACCTTAAACATATAGATGTTTAGAAGATATTAAGTGTATCTAAATTTGCCGAAGAATATTTAAGGATAAATATGTATTTTCAGAGACACCGAGTTCTTATTCCGGGAGAGGAAATCCAAAAGAGGAGAGATCGTCAGTCCGTGGCTTTATTTGTTTTACCAGACGATGATGCAATAATCCGGTGCCTGGACAACTCGAACAAATATGAACCAATCACAAGTCAAAATTATTTGAATATGAGATTTTTTGAAAAGTTTTAATAATCACTTCAATAAAATCATACTGACATGAAGTTTACTTGTTTTTATTCAACCGTCAACAAGGAATTGTACGTATTGTTATAGCAAGCATTAAGCCAACATCTTTATGTGAATATGTCCGACTGAATCTTAAAAAGTTTGCTTAAAAACTAGACAGTTATTGAAACAAGAAAAAGAAGTTGAAAATAGTGAGAACAAAATAAGACCAAGGTTATTCAGAAATATGTGAGAATAAACCACCGATATATACACAAATACACAAACACAGATTGGTCATTTAATTTATATTGACGTTTTATAAAAAAAAATACCACTGATGCTACGGATCTTTAGCTACGGATATGACTAAATAATAGTAAACTAATCTAGTGTTTGTAGCTTCATTTTTTTGTGTAACGCGAAGTGTTTAAAAAAAAAAAATACATGCATATGGACGTTTTATGATCTGAAGGTGCTAGTATTCAATACATGTCAGTTTTGATTCGAACCATTTCATAAATTAATTTATTATAATAATTATAAGCGCAACTTTATTTTTATAGAATGCAATATTCAGCGCAGACACAAAACGCTGTTTACAAAAGGGCAATCCCTCTTAATTCAAAAGAAAACGTTTGAACTGATTTTTGTAGTGTTTGAACTGATGTTTGTAGTTTGTTCTTATGTTGTGCCGTTTCAAATATTTCCCAGGTTAGAGGTAGGGTTGAGCGCCCGCAAAAATATTAAACCCCGCCAGATCCTGTATGTGCCTGTCTAAAGTCAAAAGCCTGTTATTCAGTGGTTTGTAACTGTACGTCATATTTGCTTTTCGTTTATTGTTTATTGTTTTGGACATAAATCAAGCCATTAGTTTTCTCGTTTGAATTGATTTACATTTTTTCATTTCGGAGCCTTTTATAGCTTGCTATGCAGTATTGGTTTTACTCATTGTTGAAGGTCGTACGGTGAAATTTAATTGCTAACGTGCACGTCATTTGGTCTCTGATGGAGAGTTGTCTCATTGGCAGTCATACAACATCTTATTTCTTAGACTATATTAGATAGCATGTAATGCAGTGGTTGTTGGTTGCTGTCTGCCATATTAGCTTTTCGTTTGTTTGGTTTTTTTTATCATAAACCAAGACGTTGGGTTTTTCGTTTGGATTGTATAATGGCCTTTTAGCTGACTACGATATGGGATTGGCTCATTGTTGAAAACCGTACGATGACAACCATTTCATTTGGATTTTGGTGAATACATGTAGTTGACTCGTTGGCAATCCTACCACTAAAACATCCTTTATTTTTATATCGAACAGAATAACTAAAATATTCTGAGATCGATTTGCTAAATGATTTCAAAATGTTTTATTTTAGCATAAAAATTAAATTAACCGAATCAAATATCTCACAGCAGTTTTCTCCTCAATGATAAGGACATTGAACCTAATTTTTACACCTGAAAAGATTACTACCTACACCACGTTTGCATGCGGCGGCCGCCGAAATAAATCTTGTATTTCACTGTGTTTTGTATTTTACAGTGAAATACAGGATTTATTTCACCACGTGACATTGGTTTATATTTGACTTGGAAATGAAGGTACAATTTAATTTTCACTCAACTGACGTAATACAACAATAGACGTGGTTGTGCCATTGTCAACAAGCTTGCGTCATAAACACAACCTGTTCTTCATAAAGTACGATCGTACTAGTGTGTTCATGATTGTCATGTTGGCTGTAGGAGAGTGCCAAACTCCTAGGTTATAGAAATATAAGGGTATGTATTTCATGATTTGTGAAGAGTAAGCTCACTGGAAGCTGATATTATTGCGCATCCCATTTTATTTCAGGTTCATCTAATATTATTCAGTTTAAGTTTTCGCCTTGATCTGTCAAAATGTAATTTATGTAGCATGCCAATGGTGAAGCATTGGCTACTAGGTTGAACCTACATCGTACCCTCATTTCCAAGTCAAATAGAAAACGATGTTACAAAGAGAAATAAATTTTGTATTTCACTGTGTCTTGTATTTTACAGTGAAATACAGGATTTATTTCACCACGTGACATTGGTTTATATTTGACTTGGAACTGAGGGTACAATTTATTTTTCACTCAACTGACGTAATACAACAATAGACGTGGTTGTGCCATTGTCAACAAGCTTGCGTCAAAACGAAGAGAGGGTAGTCCTTGCATTTTTCATAAGCGAACGAATGTCGGGTGACATATTGTTCCTCAGTTTCTTTTTTTTTTGTACTAATATTTTTCTTCCACTTGTTTTGTCCGTGCAATTTCTCAGGTACTATAGGACAAATATTCATGAAAATATACCATAACAAAGAACCACCATATGTGGATGTGTATTTAGACTTTGGAATTTTAAAAGGATAATATATTTTGTTACATTAGAAATTCGTATTCTACAAAATTAAAGCCCAGTTTAAGCGAGATTAGTTCGTGTTTTTGAACAGCCATTGATACAAATAGCACGGGAAGCGAAATACACAAATCATAAGTGATCGATCTGACAATAATATTTAATTATGTTAATTTGGTATGAACATACCAGCCAAATCTGCGCATGTACAATGTTGCAACCTTGATTGATGTATCACATAATTTGTAAAATGAAAATTTAATGTAACAATGACTCAAAAGATCAAGACAATACCTGCACCCACAGATGTTACATATGCCTATATTCTTTTTAAATTTTTACTTTTCAACACTAGTAAACTAATAGTATTATAGTTAATACAAATAACCGTATCAACTTTGATTTTGTAAGCCTTCAAAATTTTTCATAGAATCTCATATTCAAATAATCCCTACTCGTAATTGGTTCGTATTTATTTGAGTTGTCAAGACAATAAATGGTGGCATCTTCATCAGGATTTACAAAGAAAGCTAAGGACTGTCGGTCAACCCTTTTCTTCATCTCTTCAGTCGGAATAAGAACTCTGTGCTTCTGTAAAAAAAGAATAAATGCTCATGTGCTTTGGCAATTGAAGAAACAAATGTTATAATCATGTCTGTTATGTGCGTCAAAAGATATACGTCCATAAGACATTAACCAAAAGGCAATTAAAAGACATTTTCTTCTTTGACAATTTTTAACAAATGCCTCTAATGGCGAACGAACTGCTTATTGATCTAAGGCATTTGAGCAGTCAACATCCCCTCTCATTTTTTTCGGGATCATGTTGATCAATGTTTTTATTTGTTTATTTGTTTATGATTACTATATTTGTATCTTAAATAAAAAAAGGACTGGCTATGATTTGCCATATCCAAATTTACTGTAGATTTTTTTAATCATATGATCCCTATTATGCCAACCCGAACGAATGTCGGGTGACATTTTGTTCCTCTGTTTTTGTTTTTTTTTTCGACTTAATGAGTTTGAATGTCCATTTGGTATCTTTCGCCTCTCTTGTACTAATATTTTTCTTCCACTTTTTAGTCCGTGTGATTTGTCAGATACTATTGGACAAATATTCACGAAAATATACCATAACAAAGAACCACCATATGTGTATGTGTATTTAGACTTTGGAATTTAAAAAGGGCTGTATTACCATGATTACCATGGAAACAACAATAATGTAAAAAAAAAGTGGTTTTTGAAGACTAATTTCTCACTAGTACGACTTAAGTAAAAAACTTGAAATTTTTATGCAATGTAAGTGTCCACTTAATACAGGTTTTGTATAATTTTGAGAGGCTTTGGAACTGCTATGCAGCAGCTTTATTTCGAATATGTTTAACATAGAACCCTATTGGAAAACACATACTAGTAAGTAGCATTCTCAAACTAAAGATCAAATGTATCAAAGTTTTATAGATATGATATCTTTAAATCGGAATAGTTTTCAAAATTTTCAAAAATGGCAACGGTCGCCATGAAAAGAGCAAAAAATGTGAAAATTTTCAAAATGCTCAAAACTTTGTGAAACTTTACAGAAATGTTAACTGGCATATGCAGTTGAGGTGTTTGACTTTAGAATTTTGAAATAACTGCTGTTTAGTGGTAATTTTCGGAACCGGGTGACACCCTCTATTGCTTGCAATTGCAATTCCAGTTATAATTATTATTTTTAATTTCATGAATCTTATTCTGATTCTGATAATTATTATAAATATCATTATAACTATAATTCCAAAAGTGCCTTTCACAACAAATTATAGTATATTGCTAATGACATCAGAAGGAAAAAACCTGTGAATATATTCAATTTATATATACATGTACATGCATATATAAATATAGTTAACGATGATTCAACATGGCATGATATATTTCAAGCTGATCTGCACTGAATGTTTGATTGATTGATTGATTGTTGGTTGCTTAACGTCCAGTGGCAAATATTTCATGCATATTCAGGACGATCACTGAATGTTTGTAATCTATAACTAAATTATTGTATGACAAGGTAATTGCTTGGTTGTATGAATTGAATTTGTACCATTTTAAAAGTTGAACTTCAAGCGGACTAAAAAAAAACTCAATAATGTGATTGTAATTAATAGTCTGTGTTATAAATGCAATTAAGGCATTCTTTAGAGAAAGAACTACAATAATCTTTGTTACTTCGAAACTAAGAATTTATTACTTTTATGAAAATTGTCGACATAATTCTACCAGTTATTTTTTAAGAATTAGACTCCTTTACCTCAGACTGCATTGTACCTCCTTACATATCTTTTGAAACTTGATAATGTTACAAAACTATACAAATATCATAATAGTCTGGACAAAGATGACTTTTATAATTTAATTTCATTTGTGATCAATGATAATAAAATAGACTTTGTGAGGAACAACTTACATTTGCAATAAGTTTGTCTGCTGTCCATCAACAATAGTTCTTGGTATAGGAGGAGCTTGAATATATTCTCCATCACGTGATTTTACCTAAAATGGTGTTATATATATTAATTAATGAATAAAAGAAGATATGGAGTATACATTTAATAAGGCAGCAAACCAACATGAAACATTACCAAAAAAGAAAAAAAACACTTTATATAAATGCGTCCG